TTTACAGTCACCTGCCTCATGCAAATGAGGAGGTTCATGTTTATTCATGACGAGAGTTACAGACCACCTTTCATTCCATAGGCGGGCTCAGTGAACCTAAAGAGCGCCTTTTGCCCAGCTATGGAGCAGAGCATGCCTAGGAAGAGGACTTCTGAATATGCAGTTGTCTTCTGTAAAGCACACACTGAAAGTTAGTAAGCCAAAAGCAATGCCAAAAGCAAGCATTCCCCTTTGAAGCGCAGGCATTTGCTGGCTTTAACATTTTAAACGCCATCCCATTTTACACCACACCATAACCCGCTAGAGGCTGGTTATTTTCTGTGGATCCTCCTCGGGGGGATTCTCAGAATGCTTCCTTCTGGTCCGTTCTCCAGTTCTTCCTAATTGGGATTTTCTCCCCTTGACACAGATGAAGCTCACAGCTTGGCTATGGGCAGCTGCTTTGCTGGGCCTGGGTTGTCCCAGAGCAATCTGTGATATTTTAAGCATCCACGGCTTTTCCTCCGTGAGTTTAAGCTTCCAAGTGTGCCTCGCTTATTTTGCTGTTGGATCAAGTTCCAAAATAGCCCTGTGACTCCACGGTAAGGGCGCTTTTAAAATTGTCTCTTCCAGTTTGGTACATCGAAACAGGCAAAGTCATGTGTTCTTTGTAATGTTGACGGCTTAACCATCATCAAATATGTCTGGACACGTAGTTAATGGCTGAAGAGGCCTTAATTCTTACCAACTGTCATGGACATAAGATTCCTGACACCTGCTGGTTTTCGATTAGGCTGCTATCAAAGTGTGCCAACATGGAAAACCAAGGCAGTTCATAGAGTGGCTGGAAAAGAAGTCACTGAAATCAGCAGCCATTTATTTTTGTTCCTGTTAGAAGGTTAACAATTCAGTTCAGAATTTAATGGAAGGGTCAGGAACGTCTCCACCATCGGCTATCATTTTACCATAATCTACTAAAAATGAAAAAGCTGTTTACTCATGCTTCACAGAAGATTTATCTTACGATTTCTAACAAGAAAAAAAAGCCATGTTACATCTGCTTATGAATTTACTTCCTCAAAATATTTTTATATTTATTACTTCAATTACTATAACATTGCCATAGGAGAAGATGAGATGCCATTTCTATTCTTAAAATTTCTGTTAATTTCCAGGCAGAGAATTCTTGAGTAGCTAATGGACACACGGTCGCAGCACTCTATTCGTGCAGGAAATCTGTATGAGCTGGAGATAGGTGTGGCACAAACTGACAGACAGGAATCCCAATGACAGAAATCACTTTAGATGATCAACTCTAGCTTCACGAGAATATCCATGGGCAGCTTTTACCAGCTCATGGGTTCAGCCATCTGTGGTTCAACTACCTGCTGGGATAAGAGGCCCCAGGTGCTTCAAATGTACCCAAGGCTGAGGAACACTGCCACATAGATCCATATTTCACATGTAAGCCCTTGTTAGAATATTTAAAACGCAACAGTAATAACCCACAAAAGCATAAAATATCCTTGTACCCCAAAAAAATCAAAAATGAAGGCTTCCGATGATGGTTGGGTCACTTGTGAGGGGAGGTTAACTGGTGACGTCTTCCCCGCCGCCCATGAAAATGAATAATGCATGCTCTAAAATATTGGTAATAAAAGGCAAAAACACAGAATACAAACTCAATGGCCTGAATCAATGGATTATTCTGTAGACTGCTATATTGAGAAAAATGAAAGTACTTCTCAAAGCATAAATATTTTAATCACTCTCCAATTCTACTTCTCTTACATAAATAAGAAAACCATTCCATCTGCTGCTTCTCAGGCCTGGAAGAGCCGCAGACAGCTGCTTCTCCAAACACTTTCTTCAAGCAGTGGCATTGATAGAGGCATTACCTAGCATAGCGCATTCCAGAAATCTTCAGACCAAAGTCCAAGCCATGTGGGTAGCAGAAGCTATCCCTGCCACTGATAGAACACGGCATATGTCGACAAAATTAAAATGTTGAATTAAGGACCTTGAGGCACCCAATTCGATCTGCCTTCCCTGCTCTGTGCAAACCGACCAGAGCCTGAGATCGGATCCAGAAGAGTTCAAAAGCAGGCTGGGTTCTTTTCAAATATTTCTTGGATTTGAATTTGGACAGTCTCGGGAACATGAAATCATTTAAGTCATCTATCAGGAACTCTGAACCCACATTTGTTCCTCAATTCAATCTCCTCTGCTACCGAGTTAATAACAAGAAGAAAAGTGGAAACTGATTTCCATTTCAGCACTTCTCTCTCTTTCCATTTACCACTGAGTAAAGCAGCACAGTGGCAGATACACAGGAAGCAAGAAGAAAAGAAATTTAAAAAAAAAAAAAGAGAGAAAGACTAACCTCAAATTGCATTAGTGGCGTTACATAGCACCCTCCCTTTTTTTTCTCTTCTTATTTTTCTATAATAAAAAGGTTACTGCAGGCAAAATCGGGACACAAAAGAAAAGGAACAAAATTATATCTGAATTTCAGCCGCTACTAGCAGAACTCCCAAATTATGCCTACCAGTAGAAATATCAAGCAAAAAAGCTTACCTATCAATATTACATTAAAAGTTGTTATTAACACTTCAAGATCAAATACAGACACAAACAAAATGTAGGCTACGATGGACAGAAACACGCCCTCCAGGGATGCCCATGTTTTAATCCCCAGCACTTGTGACTGTGCTACGTGTCAAAGTGTGATTTAGATTACAGGTAACAACTTCAACAACCTTAAGACAGAGTGGTTATTATCCTTGATTACCTACATTCCATACAATCCAGGGATTCTTAAAAGATATCAGAGGGATGGGATGGCATCAGAGAGGACTGGACCCACAGCTATTGGCTTTGGTGAGGGAGAAACAGGATGCAAACCAAGAAATTCAGCAGCCTCTAGAAGCTAAAGAATGCAAGGCAACAAACTCTCTTCTAGAATCTCCAGACAGAAACAGAGCTCTGCGGAAGCTGTGACTGTCGCCCAATGAGACACCGTTAGCTTCTGAACTATAGGACAGTCAGATAAGAAATTTGTATTGTTTAAATCTGTAGTCATCTGCTGTAGTAGCAATAGAAAATGAATATATATGCTATTTACCATTTATATCTATGTATCAGTCTATTTATATTTCAATAAATCTAGGTATGCATTTATCTATCTATCTTTGATAAGCTGTTCGAAAATAAGCAGGAAAAAAGCATGACTGAAAATTAAAAGGCTTTCCCATCTTGACCCTTCTCTGGCACTCATTCTTGAATCAGTGTTATAATATATGACGGTGAGGCTGCCGTCCCCTGGAGGAGTGAGTGAGTGTTCCAACGTTTAAAGCCGAGGCTCAATAGCTGTCCCCCGCAGCATATGAAGTCACACTGAACCAGGGCAGAGTGGCCCAGCCACTTTGAAAGGCTGTGAATGATGCCTTTTCCGAATGTAGAAGGCCTTCTTTCTCTGGGGCGATTTGCACCTGAATGGCAGAGTCTTTCATAATCAAGTGAAGTACAGGGAAGAGGCTGTGGCTATGATTGCCAGTGAACTAATGGCTCCTTACCTCCCCATCCTCTCTGAACCATGCCTGCTCAGGCAATGCTGATCACATCCACGGTGACTCTGAACTGCAACCTGCAGATCAGCACTCAATGTGGGGCACATTGGCATGACCAGATTTCAGCAACCAGTACCAGACACAAAGGAAAGATGGTAGACACCACAGAGCAAAATACCCCGTGGGTGAGGTGACTACGCCCAGGAAGATGGGCAGGTCAGTGCCTCACTGAGGCTTCAGCTCTTTTCCTGCTTTTCTTTTTTTTAAGCCTGTAGTGGTTCGAGATGTCACAAACCAGAACTTGTGAATGAAACAAAATGGATGTGACATACATTCAGAGAGAAGGCACCAGGAAGGCAAGTGCAGTTGTAATTTAGATATGATATATGCACCAAGGCTACGGAAGTGGGGCACCAAATCCTTAGCCTCTTAAAGACAGTTACGATCTAGAACCAGGAGGGTGGGCTTGGGCAATGAGTCAGAGCCTTATTTAGAAGCAAGTTACAAGTTTTACAGGCTAAACTATACCTGCTCAGACCCCCAAGCTCATCCTCATTAGCCATGACTTCACTATTATACATGTCTATTGATGGATAGAGATGTTCTTTGTCCCTAAAAGCAGGAAGTTTATTTCTAACGCCTGCAAGTTAACCAAGAAATTTAATGAACCTTCTCGCACCCATGGAAATGGAAAGGAAAAGTCATACTCTTGAAAGTAATGATACCAGAAGAACAAAGAAACAAGTCCTGATGAGAGGGCTCAGCAGGCAGAGGCGCCTGCCACACAACAAGCTTAAGGACCTGAGGTCAAGGCCTGGAACCAGCACGGTGAAAGGAAAGAACTGGCTTCTGCAAGCTGTCCTCTGCACACACACCTATGCAACAAATACACGTAACAACAATGTCTAAAGGTTCCACAGCATCTTCATGCGAATAACCAAATACTTACTCTAAACCAAGAAATGGTACATGTAACCCTGTTTCCGGAGAGAGATAGCCCCTCTCTGATAGCAAGACTTCTTACTTGGACATAGAAGGCAGATGATCTTAAGACCTTCACATGACACAATGACACCAATGTGCAAGGCACTGCCTACCTGGTTGTGTTGGCTCTGTACTTGTCTTCTGCATAGCTTCCCTAATAACCTTACACCAGTGACACGGGGTTCTGTACCAAAACCACAAAGGATCAAATCACCGTGACAAAGTTTCTCCAGAAAGTATCTCTGTTGGTGGCCTTCATTAGACAAGGGGCCAAGGCTGCTCCTAACAGATAGATGGCTACTGGTTGCTTCCATTTTTGGTACAATTTAAAATCACAACCCGTTCCTTCTCTTCCCTTGGCTTCTACTTCCACGCACAGCTGAGGAAACACAGTATACCACGTTGGAGGCATGAGCTCCAAACCCGTCTGACGATGTGACGCACACCAGGCTACCCCAGCCACTTTACCTTGTTGAAGTCTTCAGAAGTTGCCCTCATTTCCTTCCATGTCTTGTTCAGGAGCTGGATACAGATGCAGAAGAACTCCTCAAAGGCTCTGTCGTGGGTGAAGAACATCGGGTGGAAGTCATTGCAGGTCTCGCTAGCTGGAGGAAAGAGAAGCGAACAAAGGCAAACATTTTACCATAGCCGAATATGAAGCCAACCCACATCAGGAGTCCGCAGAGACAAAGGGACATACCTTTGATTACACAGCCATGGAGAAAAGGACCTTTGAAAAGGCACCAAAGGACCGCTCCCGCCCTTAAAAGCTGAAGGCCAGGGTTTCAGAACTATTCTTAGGCACATGTTTTGACTGTAAAATGTCAGTTGCTCATCCACCCCACAATGTGACCCCAAAGGCTTTGTTCCAGGAGCGCTGGGATAGGTGACCTTTGAAAAACTATTCCAACTGTTTTCTGAGGCACAATGCTTTTATCACCCTAATAGGATAATAGGCAGAAGATGGGCTTTTCTGAACATACAATTAATTCCAACTTTGAAAACAGCATCTATGATTATTTCTCCAGGGGACATTTTCCCCCCTTATGGCCGCGAGCAGGGCCTATACGTGATCATTCGCCATCTGATGCCACTGACCATTTAATTTTACAGGCCAGGCACAGATGGCTGGAGGTCAAAGCATCCCGAATGCTCTGAATGCTGCAACGTCCAGTTCTCACAGACAACCAGGAAATTAGTTAGGACTATTTCCAAACCCAACTCTAGTGATCTTCCTTGGGAAAGATCCAGGCCAGCCTTCTCCCTCCCTCTCTCCCCTCAGACCTGCACTCCAGGCCCCTTTTCACCTCCCAGCAATCTTCCAACTTTGCACTTTAATAGTCCTTTGAAAAACAAAAAGAATTATTTTTTTTATGTGTTAAATGCTTCACCTACATGTATGTAAGTATCCTGTACATGAGTGTCTAGTGCTCATGAAGGCCAGAAAAGGAAATCAGTACCTGTGTCATGGAGAAGGATATTGTAGAGTTTGGGGAACTCAGCTTTGCAACCAGCTCCAACCAAAAACAAAAACAAAAACGAAAACAGAAACAAAAAACCCAAGATTTAAACACACACACACACACACACTTGCACACATGTTGGGGAACCTTTGCCAAACAATTATCTTTAAGAGGTGGGACCAAGTTAGGGTGTGGCTTTCTGGGACCCAGAGAAAAACGATGCATGGCCTAGGTGTTCTCTCTCTCTCTCTCTCTCTCTCTCTCTCTCTCTCTCTCTCTCTCTTTCTCTCTGTCTCTCTCTGTCTCTCTGTCTCTGTCTCTCTCTCGTTCCCTTGCAGCACAGCTGAGCTTGGACTTCTCATTCCTCTTTTGTGAGTTTTCCCTTTATAATAAATAAAAATAAAATTGGTTTATCTTTTAGCTAGCCTTGTTATTTCCTAAATCAAACTAACATTTATGGTTGGTGCTGAATCGTGGGGCTCTAGCCAGCCATAGTCAGGCTCCACCATTCATATGGGAATAGGATTCTCATGCAGCGCCGCTAGCCACGGTCCTTCATATTTTCTCATTAAATGCCTCAAAGCTTCTCCAAGTCCTCAGGCACCTTGGCCACCTGCGACTGCAAGACTGGCTTCTGGGTCCAGTTTTTTCCAGCGCTCGCAGAAGCTCAGGCAGGACACAGTCTTTCCCGGGTGTCTCTGTTTGGCATTGCTTTCTTACTCTCTTTGTGCTCGTGTGGCTGCTGACCAGTCAGGGACTTCAGTGGAACATACGGTCTCTGTTTTACACTGAATAATTGTTTTTAATTTGAGCATATCTTTCAGTATTTAAAGCTAAAATCTGATTCAAGCCGGTCATGCGGCTACAAGTATGCTGCAACCCCTATTGGCAGGTAACAGTTATTAAACCTACTCCAAGGGCAAGATGACAGACAATTTAACAATCCAAGAATTCAATAGCTTTTTTACTTATACCATGTATGATGTTATGCAAGGTTTATATGATTTCCCTCCTATAGAAGGTGCTAAGATATTGTCTGAGAGAATTCATATTGTTAAATGTATTAATCAGACTCTGACAAATGGTTAGGATAGATTGACTGATAGAATGTCTCTCCAGGAAGGTAATATGCATGCTATAAAAATTATGTCCAAGGATGAGATGTTATCTTTGCTGGACAGACTTCACTGTCCAGTAAATTCACTTGGAATTCTCAATGAGGTCATTAAAACAGAACCCTGGACAGGAGATCAAGACTTTACAATAGGCAGTGGTAAAAAAGATTTGAAAAGATTGAGAAATTTATCAAATTTGTTGACCAGGGACAAAAGGTACAAAGACAAAATGTAGCCTCATCAGTATGTACCAAACTCCAGGGTAGCTTTCCCAGAGTTCTCCTACCTTTCCAGTTATATCATCAGAAAGAGCATCTGGCACCAAATATCCTAAGGTAGCCAAAGCATATACATGGGATCCCATATGTATAACTGATATAAAGGAAATCAAAGAAGTAATTGTATCTTAAGGAATACATTCATCCTTCATTAGAAAAATGTTCAACCTGTGGGCTTCAAGTAACAAGGCAACGGCACAAGATTGGATTCAGTTAATTTCAGCTGTCCTAGAAAATGGACCCCAGCTGCTTTGAAAGTGTTATTGGAGAGAAGAAGCAAAAATTTTAGAGCCACAGGAAAAAGCAAAAGGACTTCAGATTTCCCAAGATCAAATTCTGGGTGAAGGAGATTACTCTGATCCTCAGGATCAGGCTCTTCACGATGAATACACCTTGTCCCTATGTAGCACAGCAGCTTTAAATGCTTGGGACAGGATTCAGGAACCAGAAATGAGAATTAAATCATATATTAGGGTTAAACAGGGTCAGAGAAAATCCTTTAGTGACTTTTTACAAAGATTAATTAAGGCTGTATAAATAGGACCCAAAAACTAGACATGTACTAATTGAATCTTTGGCTTTTGAGAATGCCAACTTAGAATGCAAAAAGATCCTTAGGCATTTAAAGATCAGATCAGCACCAATGGATGAATGGATCTTGCATACAATGAATGTTGAGACATTTCATTGTAGTACTGAAGCTTGGGTAGGAGAAGCAATTTCCAATGGTTTGAGGAGACATCAAAATACCAAATGTTTTAATTATGGTAGAATAGGACATCTGAGAAGGGATTGTAGACAAGAAATTCCTAGGAATAATGTCTCCTCTGAGAATGGCAAAAATAGGAGAACTCAGCATTCAGGTAAATGTAGAAGGTATGGTAAAAGTCGACATTGGACCAATGAATGTAGGTCAACAAAAGACAGACAAGGCAACCCAATACCATCAGGAAACTCCTTGGGGGGGGGGGGCTCTCGCAGGCCCCCAAGTCAAAAGTGGTCCATTCATTCCCAGTTACTGTAGAGGACATGTCTCACCAGGAAAATTAAAAATTCCAGTGTCTACTGTAAATAAAACATATTGATCTGGATGATGGAATAGATATGGAAGATGAATCAAAAACTCCAGTAGGATATAGAAAATGAATATTCTGGCAGACTTCTATAAATGTGCCAAGAAGAAAACAAACTCCACGTGGAGTGTCCAGAGGGGAGAGACTGGGCAGGTCAAGAGCAGAGCTTACTGCAAAGAACTTCTCCTGCAGAGAGTCAAGCTGCTTGCCATGCATGTGAACATCCACTTCACTTTTGGTACAACCCTCTTCTGGTACAGGCCCACAGCCAGTGACCTCTGACATTCCTCCAGAGAGTATGTTATGCTCTGGCAGCTGTTATGTGCCACCATATACATCCATAGGCCTTATGAGTATAGTGATTCTATACATCTGCCCATCTAAAGCAGCAGCAACTGGGTGTATTTGTACAGCTCCACACTTCTGAAAGGACAACTTGATATGCAGATAAGCAAATGTCACTGTACATCAGACAGCATGAGGACGGAGGTTACCAGCAATGCAGTCATGCAGAAAGGACCTAGAAGCAAAGATCTGGATTCATGTCCAGCCCATGCCAAGCAGGGGAAAGTCACTTAGCCCATTCTTAGCCCATATTATCTTAACTAAAATGTAGAAATGAAACTCACTCTGCCTTCTTTCTAGGCTTTAGAGAGAATCACATACCACAACTCATTTTTTAAAATGCCCTGGAAAAGATAAAAGTTAACATAAACGTGGAGAGAGGTGCTGGTCATGACAGCAAGCCTTATATGCCAGCACACCATTCTAAAGTCTTTCCTCTATTTTCTTGTTAAGTTTGTTCACATCCCAGCAATGAAAAGCAAGAAAATGCAAATAGAGTCACTCCATCCCAGAGAGGCACCAGCAAATGTGAGTTTGACCTGAGACACAAAGCTATTCAGGGAGTGTGGAACACCAATACAGGCCAACTGTGCAGCTTGATGCCCTGGTCAATGAGCCGTCAGTCTCCCTTTCATGAGCACTGGAGCCCACGAAATTTGCAAGTCTACAGAAGCAACTTAAGATGCTATTACCATCCAAGAACTCATTATTAATCACATTATCACAGTATCATTTTTGGACCTAGTATGATTATATGTGTACTTTATGCCCTAGTTAAATTTTTATAGCATTACTGGAGCTGAGGCAGCTCCAAAACTCAGGAGCCCCATTTTTACTTGGATGGAGAGAGAGGAGAGGAAGCTCATAATAATAGGCAGTATTTATTGGATCTACATTATGTGCTCGGCGCCACAGGCACTATCTTAGTAACAACCCAGGAAGGTGGGCATTATGGGTATCTTCATTTTATACTGAAGGAAGGTAAAAGTTGTCGAAATGCAACCTTCCATCATGAGTTTTTTTAGGTGGCTCTAAGTAAGCATTTGAAACCTACAATTTAACTGGCCTAACAGTAGGCTCCTGGCCTTCACTGACATCAGGAGTACAGGGAATTTCCTGGTGGTTGCTGCTTAGAAAATTAATTTCTCCCTGCATGTTCCTGGACCTCCTGTACCCCTCCTTCAACAAGAACCAAGATCATGACCTGCAATGCAATAGGGCTTCTAGAAAATGCACAGCCACTGCTTGGTGGTTGAGAACGCATGGCCTTGTGATCATAGCAATAAAGTCAGCAATTCTACCACTGTGAACCCAAACTGTACGGTGATTTT